CTCAGAATTGCAAGTTATAAACTGAAAAAGAATTGAGATTTGCAAAAAAAAGAGAGACAATTTTGCAATTAACCTTTTTATTTTTTATCCTGTGGCGTAAACAAGTTTCCATAAAATATTACTTGCGTCTTTCTACTTGAAAATTTCACATTTCATTAAATGTGTTGCTTGACATTTATTTGTAATTATTTGTGACATTTGCAAGCAATTTCTGAGTGAAAATTGTTTCTACACCAATTTTTTCTTCAGTGTAGGACTTAATTTTTCACTCAGTTTTTACTCAGAAATTGCAAGCAAATTGCACAAACAATTACAAAGCAAGTAACACACTGAATTAGATGCGAAATTTTGAAGGTGAAAAACTGGTAGTATTTTCTTGCAAAACATACTCCAAAATGTTTTATTTACAACAACAGCATTTTTTTTTCTCAGTGTAATCTTCTCCATCCTTCTTGACTTACATCATCAAATTTCTTTTCGCTGAAGACTTCATTCTTATCGATAAACGTCAGCATGATCCAGTCACAGATGATTGAGCACTAGATGACAAAAAAAATGAGACATTTACTAACATTATGATTAAGCATTAGGACAAAATACAAGCTGTAAATGCCTCTGTCCATCAGGGTTACTCCAGATCAAGCACTGTGAGTGAAACCTGAAAGTCATTCCCATAATGCAATTTGTGAAGTGTTTATGTCTGCCATCAGTGTCATTAAGATGTCATTATCTCACACTTTAAACATCATGTTTTTATTATGCATTCCGCAAAAACGTACAATTCCTACTGACGTCATGGCCATGACTGTGTTGATAATGGTTGGAATCAGACTGAATCTTCCCGCCTGAAAGGAAATATAGAGAGTCAATATAAGGCCGTATGTGCAGTCAGCATGTGGCTAATGTACTTCCTGTATGGTCTCACATGTCCATGAACAATGACATCCAGGCGAATCCCATAGGCTTTTATGAGTGTCCTGTACTCCACACCATCCTTATGGTGATATTTTGCAAACCTGAAATGTTTGGAAGTTAATATATTTCTAAAGAAACATTAATATTTAATTGATCATCATTTTAATGCCATTTGACTATTGAAATGCATGTAGATTGTAACCTCAGAGCTCATACCTGTAGTAATATCCTGAGCTGGGCAGGTTTTTTCTCATGTCCAGTCTTCTGAACGAATATGTTGGAATGCACTCGGAAGGATCCACGTCAAAATCACACTTCCAGTTAATGAACACGCCAATTATTCCACCCTGAACATATAATAAAATGACATTATAAAATATACATTAAAACTGTTAAAAGTGCCTCAATTCAGAGAAAAATAAACGTTGATGTGTTGTTTGACATTAAAGGCACAATATGTAAGATTTTTTTTATTCAAATATCCAAAAACCACTAGAACAGTGTTATATATTTTGCTGACTTGTGTACTTACATTATCCCAAATGTTTCGAAGAATGTTTAAATCCAGAGAAATAAGCTATTTTAACGAGTGACACGGAGCGTGTCCATAGTGTCATTGTGCCGCCTGCCAATGACGTCATAACCCCGTTAATAAATCATTAGCTCATCCATGAACCGAGTCCCGACGGATTGCATCGGCTGTGGGGATGAAGACTACAACTCCCATGATTCCACACTCAGTCACGGCGTCATCAAACTACGCCTTTGTTTCTTTGTTTGTTTTGAATACGTGCCCTCTAGCGGCGAAAATTACATATTGTGCCTTTAACCCGTATACATGCCGTTCTGCAAAGTTCGCTGAATTTCTCTCAGGCCTGCGCTGCGATGAAGCCCAGGCTGAACACTGGACAATACGGGTTGGTGTCGGGGTGATAATGGCACTGTAACAACTTCTTTGGCTTGTTTGGTTTGATGTTGCCCCTGTAGTTCCCATTTCCATTTCAGATAAAAAAATATACATATATATTTTTAGGACCGCGAGAAACATAAATTCAGCAAGGATGCATTTCCCAAAAGTGACAGTAAAGACATTTAGAATGTTACAAAAGATTTCTATTTCAAATAAATTCTATTCTTTTGAACTTTCTTTTCACCAAGGAATCCTGAAAAAAAGTGTATCACAGTTTCAACAAAAATATTAAGCAGCACAACTTTTCAACATTGATAATAATTAATGTTTCTTGAGCGGAAAATCAGCAAATTCGACAATGAAGACTGGAGTAATGATGCTGAAAATTCGGCTTTGCATCACAGGAATAAATTACATTTTAAAATATAATAAAATAGAAATCAGTTCTTTTAAATTATAATAATATTTCACAATATTACTGTTTTTTTAGTGTATATTTGATCAATTCCATACAACCTTAGTGAGCCTAAGAGACTTCTTTCAAAAACAATAGATATCCTAAACTTTTGAACGGTAGTGTAAATTGGAATTTCTGATACATTTATGTTTTACTAAATGCTTTTTTGATCACACAAAAGGTTAAAAAGCAGCCTGGCACTGCTTAGACATATCCTCTGATTTATAAAACATGCTGAAACTCATCAACGTACCTCAGAACTTTAAACTTTGGGAAATGGATGGCATTCTTTATGAACACTGTAAAATGAATAGCCTGTTCCAAAGCTGGCTCCCTACGGGGATAAGAAAGACATTTTAGTTCATTTCTCTATTTGATTTTTGACAGATCAGTCAATAAAAGCACAATACCTGACAACAGCATATTCCTCAATGGGACACCAGGTTTTGATCTCGCAGGTCTTGAATGTGTAGTTGTAGTATGGGATGCATCGTCCTGTTCTTTGATCTATTCAAAAACAAGTCCACATCTTACAGTGGACCATGCATCAAAACTCTGAGGCCACAATGAAAATCTTTTTTAATTAATGTATGAATTAGTTAATTCATCAATTAAGTTTGAATTAGTTTAAGATTAAAAAAAAAAAAAGTCGTTAAAAAAAATAGTAATAAATACTGCAGCAATTAAAGCTGCACTTACATTTTTTTGGAAAACTGTGTATTCAATTAGAAGTAGTTTAATATTAAACTAGTGGTCTCAGAGATTTAGACCCCACTGTATATATGTATGTATTTATTATAAAAGTAAACCCCACCATGACCATCAAAATCAATTTCTCCTTGAGTGCAGTCAGAATCTTTTGTGCAGTTTGCATTGGCAACACTGTAATGCTGAGAAAACAAATAGAGAAAAATAGATCTACAAATGCTGTTTGACTCGGACCAGTCATTCCAACCAAAACATGAATACTTTGTATTTATCTGCAGTTGTGCATATACCTCAGCACACGTGCCCTGCGTCTGATCGTGCGTCACTTCTCTCCTAAGAATCGTACTGATTACATCACCACCCTGTACATTAAGAAATACAGGGTTTCGAATGATTTTACAATCAACTGTAATGTTGACCGAGCAAGAATATATATTAGGATCTAGCAGGGAAAATATGATTTAATCAGTCTACAGTATCTTAAGTAATAAAGGGTATCTTGTCTGCCTTGGAATCTTTTTTTGAGTAAAATAAGGATGATGTAATTGAATGATTTTCTATACAGTTTATAATTCGTTTTTTTGGGCCTTCACCTCAGATGGTCTGACATATTCTGTTGTGTCCTGAACGCTGTCTCCCAGCATGGCCACACCTCTCATCTCAGTGTACACCGAGCTCTCTGGACGCGTCTCTGTCTCCTGATACGCTTTCTGACTGATAAATACATGCCTGCACACATAAAACATGACATAAATGCATCCATCCATCTCCACACATGTAAATCGTGAAAAACAAAACATACCTTCATAGGTATAACGGAGGAAATTCTGTATAAAAAGAACTTCAGAACAAACACAATCAAAGGTATATATATATCTAAAAAATGCGATGAAAACCTATACATTTACAGCAAAATTGTTGAAGGTGGGAAAAAACTTCTATAAATCAGATATGGCTGAAGTTGGAGTGTTATTTGACATTTCATCTATACATAAATCTCTGTATCACTGATTTGTATCTATTGACATTTTTATTGCATTTCTTCTGCATTTGTTTTGTCTTCTTTGCAGCCGTACTTCAAAACAAACCAAAAGGTAACAACAACAAAAAAAACTCATCAAGTTCTTTTTATGCAAAATATATTTTTCTTTGGATTTATATTAAAATTAATCACCCAGAGACTATGAAATAACTCAAGTTTTGCATTTCAGTGTTCTCTGTTTGTCTAGAACAGAGATAAATAGGCTACAATAAAAAATCACCAATTAAAAGCATCCATTTTGTGATTGATGTAAAGCAAGTTTTCGGTACAAAAATAAAATTACTCAAGTTTTGAATTTCAGTGTTCTCCATTGGTCTATCTCAGAGACAAATATGATAAACATTATAATTATCACCATTTAAAAGTATCAATTTTAGCAGATTCTTACCAAATTAAATATGTGATTACCAGGAACTGCACGGCTCTGTATATGACTCCTAGTTTCCTGTCCTTCACCACCATTACTTGTGGAGTCTCATAGTCCCAGAAACCCAGGAAAAAGTCTTTGAGGAACTCCAGACATCCCATTTTTATATTTAAAAAAATCCTTATATGTTCCTGCAAAATTAACGTCCTAATCTTCACTACTGAACTGATGCTGTAAGGTGACACCCACTTGTGTACCACTCTCTCTCTCTCTCTATCTCTCTCTCTATCTCTCTCTCTCTCTATCTATCTCTCTCTCTCTATCTCTCTCTCTCTCTCTCTCTCTCTCTCTCTCTCTCTCTCTCTCTCTCTCTCTCTCTCTCTCTCTCTCTCTCTCGTTGAGTGGGAGACAGCAGAACCAGATCGTCTGCGTACAGCAGGCATTTGATCTGTGAGTTGTGTAGGGTGAGGCCATATTGTTCATTTATTCTGCAACATAAACATATTATTTATAGTATAATAAAATTAGGCTACACATGTAGTAGGTCCGTTCGCTACACGTTCATGCCTTTCTATGCAGGCATTCGCTCGTGCGCCCCAGTTCAAGGGTCCTACTGTCTCGGCTGACTGACGCCACACAAAACACGTGTGTTAGGAGGACGCGCGTTAGTACTGGATCAGCTCTGCGATCTATTTGCCTTTTTATTGCAAACGTTTTTAATTTAGGGTTTGTCAAGTGAAAAAAAAAGTCAACTCCGCTGTAATGGGCGGATTACAAAAGAAGAAGGTAAGACAGAGATTTAGAGCAATACTGTCGGTAAACAAAACCTGATGTGTTGATGAGCGCAGGGCCGTGCAGACCTGTGTTTTTTAAACGTATTACTTTATTGTGTATACATTTAACAGTATATATTTGTATATATGGCATATGATAAAATATTTAAATAACTACAGCAGAATTTTGTCTTGAATTTCCTTACTTTAATATTCATTGCAGTTGTTTTCAGCTTTGCTTGGCAGCAAATAAGGGTTCTTAATTCTAATTCATCTCAAGATTTGACTCCGTATGAAAAATGTGTCTTGTTTATGCATATTACGGCATGTCAGAGCACTTGCTAACCTGTCATTTCTTCTCGTGTAGTATGAGAGCGGATCAGCAACTAACTATGTCAGCAGGAATAAAGCCCGCAAGAAGCTGAGTCTGAGTCTGGCTGATTTCAGGTTGGTTAACAAAACAAAGCATTTCACTTATGTTCTTATGTTCTGTCCTGGTGTCTGAGTAATTTTACGTTCCTCATACTTTATATAGTAGTTTAGTTGATAGAGAATGTCATGTACTTTATTCGATGTCACGTATATATTAAATGTTATTGATTTTAAGCTGATTTTTAACCAGTTTGTACCAAATGACAGATAGATTTGTGCTACAATACCTCATTTTACATTTGACATCAGTAATAAAGGATATTTAAACATTACTTTTATTTATTTAGTCATTTAGCAGACGCTTTTATCCAAAGCGACTTACAAATGAGGACAACAGAAGCAATCAATTGTAGTATTAAAACAACTAAAAACAGATCCAAAACTAAAAGCTAAAGCTTTATAAATACTACCTATACACATTTTAAAAATAAAGAAATTAAATAAAAATGATAAATGCCTACAACAAAATTTCAAAACCTAACATTTAAATGAAAAACAAAAAATAAAGCTAAAAACAATTCAAAATATTAAAGAACAAAAGGTATGAGTATAATAATGATTCTAACATAACACTAAGCCAAACACCAAAAAAAATAAAAAATACATGTGTATGTACACAAGTAATAGGAAAGAGGAGAAATAAAAAGCAATACTTATTAAAAGATATCTCTATTTATTTTGGTATCTTCTCAACTATGCACAATAATACAGCTAGTTGCGCTTTATAATTTGTATATAGTATTTCTTGCCTGATGTTTTTCATGAACCACCAGTTGCGAAACACAATGTATATACTGTAACTTGCTTTATTTAATTATTTAAGCATTTAATACAGTTCATTGTGAATTAATGCATGCTTCTCATTCTATAGGCGGTTATGCATATTAAAAGGAATCTATCCTCATGAGCCCAAACACAAAAAAAAGGTCAACAAGGGCTCGACAGCGCCTAGAACCTTCTACCTGCTGAAAGACATTCGTTTCCTCTTGCATGAGCCTGTTGTTGGCAAGTTCAGAGAGTACAAGGTAAGAACTGTGCTTTAGTAAAGCTAGATGCTGCTGTGTGTTTGCGGCAGCATCCTCTAATCCTTATCATTTTGGTCACTTTTTCACTTTCACGTTTTCAATGAAATGACACTGGAGCTAATATACTGATTTAGCTGGGTTTCCATCAACCTGCTTTTATGCACGTTATGAAGTATCGCATCAGAATCGAGTGATGGAAACACTGAATTTCGAATAAAAATGCCTTATTTTGCAAAAAAGTTTTTACGCTCGCTTGAGGTGGTTTTTGACTTGTGTGAAAAAGGGTTAATGCGAATAATGGGAGATGGAAATGCATTTTGCGAATAAATTCCTCCAAGCGCATCAAAAAAGTAATGTGACTTTGCGCTATGGGACGGCAAATTCTGACTAACCAGCGGACCGATCTCATTCACGGCATCTGAAATGTTGTTATGGTCATTCGGAAATGCCCGAGCAAAGTCTGTCATCAAAGTATTTCTGTATAATTGCCTCCCAGAACTGTTAAATGACTGCGTTCCCAAACAGCAGCATCCACCTCCGAAAGCAATTACCGCATTCATTGTGTTTCGTCTGCTCGTTCTGAGGTGCAAGTAATTTATTATATAGGAAAATTATTATATTCAGTAGCTAGCTTCTCCTACTTTTATTAGTGATGTATAGTGCCAGTTTATCAGGAAGTGATGATTTTGTTCTCTTTGACTCGTTAGATGGAAAAGGTGCTTGTTCGCAAATGTTTTGTGCGATATTCCAATTTTGCGCATAAGTTAAATTCGCAACTTTGGATGGAAACCCGGCTAATGTCAATAACAATGTAAAATGTATGCCAAAGAAACATTTGGATGATCCGCTGTGGAAACTTCTAACGGGAGCAGCTGAAAGTGAGAGAGAGAAATGTCAATTTCTATGTTTAAAAAAAAAAATTACTTTGAAGTCTCTTTTAATTTTCTTGGTTATGCAATAATTAAATGCATCCATTTAGACTTTTCAGTCGGTGTTACTTTAGAATTATTTATACTATTATAATATCTATTACTATTTTGAATTAGCTTTTATTTTTATATTTTCAGTTTCCATTTTACGTTTTAGTAATTTGATGTGCTGTTCTCATTTTTATTATTATTTGTTTTACATTTCTATTTAGCTTTAATGTATTTATATTTTAGTTTCAGTCATTTTAGTACCTCGACTTAGTTATTTCATTTCAGTTAGTTGCCAAGGCAACATTTCTAATTTAATAAATATTTTATTTAATATATATTTTATGTCCGCATTATCTGATTACTGAAAAAAAAATGTATGATAGGCAATGAAATTAAGAACCCACTTATCAATTGTAATACAACATTATAAAATGTCAGAAATTGGTGAGAAGCTGAGTTGCCTTTTAAAACAATACGTTTTTATTTTATTTATTTAGTTTTTAATAATGGGTGAATTAATTAAATTTTTTTTTTTCAAAATATTAAATTAATAATTTTTTTAATTTAAATTATTATTTTTATTATAATTTTTTCCTTGCACATTTACAGCAAACAGTGCATGTCACTTTAGCCAGTCTCAGTGAAATCTCTTATAAAAACACTTGTTTTGGTTGCTTAATGCAATTAAAAGATTATTACAGTCTATGCTCTGACCCAACAACAACATGTTGTGAATGACTTTTCTGTGTGTCAAACAGATCAGTTATGAGAATCCAAAAAGTCACAAGAATATCAATATGATGCTTTAATTATCTTGGCTCGACTGACTGTCTCGTTCACTGTCCGTCTCTGCATCCATCCAATCTGCTCTGTTTACAACTGTTGCATCAGCAGGTTTTGGGTTTTGAATTTGGAATGTTAGGGGTTTTTTCCCCAACCGTTCAAAAGTTTTTCAAGAAGATTTTTTCCATGCTTTAGATTAGTGCTGGGCGGTATACCGGTTCATACCGAATACCGGTGTTTATTTTTGTTATGATATGAATTTTTAAAATACTGCAATACCGCAGTATGTCGCTTAAGCAACATTCGGAACGCGACACTGTTTGAAAGGGGTTCCTTTTCACTGTTGCACTGTTTCACTGTTGTCCGAAACTGAAGCTGTAGAACTAATAGAACGTGATGACACAGAAGAACTCATCCACAATATCCACATTGACCG